CTCCGGCCCCCCGAAATCTCCAGCTGCTCCAGGGCCGCCTGCACCTGCAGCAGCTTCAGCTCCTGCAGGGCGCCCATCATGCAGGTCATCTGCTCGTGCAGCCCGTCGCCCACCTCCTTCATGGACAGCTGCGGAGGGAGAGGAGAGGCCGTTAGCGCTGGGCGCGCGGCGCGACGGGAGCACCCGGCCAGGGCGTCCGAGACCCTCCCGCTCCCCTGCTTTGGAAATGTTCTGGACCCTTCGGAATAAGGGGAGCTGACAGAAGTAGTGGATTTTCTGACCTGACAACCAAAACAAATTGTTTATTTGAGTTTCCATTAATTGCTTGGCACAAGCCCAAGGCGGAGCACGGAGAAGGCTTCAGGCTGCCTCCCGCTCCGTGTTTTCCGCTGCTTTTGTTCCTTTTGTGCTGTGCAGCTCCCTGGAATCAGGAGCTGCAATAATGGCTAGACCTGTCACTGGGAATCTCATTCTGCAGCGCAGCGCTAGAATGCAAAAATGAAATAATCAGCACTAATAAAAATCACATTATGTTACTATATGTCTAAAGAGTTCAGTGATCTGATTAAAGGCACCCTCTCATCTGGAGGACAATCAAATAAATTCAAATGCACTTGATTTTTTTTTTTTTAAACAGCAATCAACAACCTCTACAATTATTTCCAATAGAAAACAATCTTGCTGATTCCCAGCTAAGACTCTTAATAACAGTCCTGCTGCATCCCTAAAACGTGCAATAAGGCTCGAACTTTCTGTGTTAGACTCCAAATATGCCTGTTCTTTCCCAAAGCAGCCAAGTGCCCCTTCCTCCCCTTCCCGCGTGTTGTGCCGGAGCTGGCTCGTGTTCCCGGCGGGGCGCGGGCTCTGCTCCCAGCAGCTGCCCCTCTTTCTGCAGCCGGGGAATGGGGAGGGCTGGGAGCAGCCGGCGAGCGCGGGGCTGCAGGGGAGGCTGCGCCGGGGGCTGCAGGGGAGACCTCGCGGCAAACGAGCGGTTCCCAAGGTCTGTCGCGATTCTGTGCAACAACGGAGCCCTTCACGGTGAAGGACAGAAGCATCCTATGTTCTGCTCTACAGTGCCAGGCTCTCTCTTCTTCCTTCGCCTTCGTGTTTGCTCTTTGCCCGCGTCTTTGCCGAGGTCTGACCAGGCAGAAGGAGCAGTCATCCAGATCTGGGATCTGCGTAACGAGCCCGCCCAGCGCGGGAGCCTCGCGGCGCTTTCTGAGCACAAACCTCCAGCCTGAAACCCAGAACCTGATTTTCAAAGATTTTTCAAAGCTTCCCTCCCAAGAAACAGACCCATTTCCCCAAACGAATGCCCCAGCTATGACAATATGGGAAAGATCTGTGCTCCGCTCTCTGATTACATTATCAAGTCTCTCCGACTATCTAATTTTATTAACATCAGCAAATAAAGCTCTGCATCTGCACATATGCAAATACCTCCCCCCTGCACAGCGGCGCTCTCAGGTTTCTGCTGCAGAAGCCCCGGCCATATGTTCTGCCGGCCCCAGACAAAACTATCACCTTACGCCCAGCTTTGCGGTAATGCGGCTGCCCCTAACCCCGCGCGCCGCCTTAACGGCATCTGCCTTAGCTGGGGCTTTGCGGGGAGCTGGATTTGGAGGCGGGGGCCCTCGCTGGGCCCCGCTCGGGCGGCGCAGGGACACGGGCCCGCGTGGGCCCCGCGGCCGGGACGAGGCTCCCGGCACCTCCTTCCTGCTCCTCCTGCTTCCCAGGGAGATGCTGGATACCCAGGTCCAGACTGGCTTCTCCGAAGGAACCGGCTCCTGCGGGAAGGAGATCGGCTCCCTGGCGAGGGTCAAGGTGAAGCGATCTGGGCTGCTGGGGGGAAAAGTGACTGCAAACAATCCTGCAGAGCGGGCAGGGAGCGGAGCCGTGGCCTGGGCAGGAACGAGGAACCCCGGCAGCCCTGCTGGGTCTTTAGTCAGTGAGTCCCCATCCTGCCGCGGAAGGAGCCCCGTGGCGCTGCGGGGCGCCGCTCGCTGCACGGCCCGCGGCTCCTCGGGGATCGCCCCGCGTTCACGAACCCTCCGCGGCCTTGGTCTCCAGCCCGGGTGTGCAGGGAAGGCAGCAGGTCGGTTGGGTCTGGGTGCCTGATCAGAGGGGCTTTGGGCTTCCCTACGAGCAGCTGCTTGGCAGCTCCACTTCCAAGAAAAGCCACAGACAGCCCCAAGACACCCGGAATTGCTCTGTGACTTAACCTGCTCGCACAGGGCCGGCCCGTCTGCCAGGGCCACTGCAGTGGCCAGAACGACCTGCCCGGGCAGAGTTGGACC